TTCACATTCTTTATATTCTGGTTTAAAAATTCATATGGGGGGAGGAATCTTTTCTGAAATGAAAATCAATATTTGAAATATTTTGCAGAGTGCAATGATAAGGGCAAACGAAATGTCACTATCAAGGGTGCTGGTAAGTAGAGGCCAACTCATTAAGCAGAGAGCTCATGAGAACAAGTCATTCCTTATGCAAACATTTAAATATCAATTAGTAAGGACAATGAAAGGAGCAGAACCAAATCTTCCCTTCCCATGTGCTCTCTTACTCCAGAAATGACCAAGGGGATAAAGAGCAGCAGGAAAAATCATCTCAGCATCTAATAGGAATGCCACTTTGGGGAATAGTAAAGGTTCATTTTAAATGTACTTCCAAACTGAAAATTACATGTACCTGCCTCAAAAATTCTTAACAGCTGAGTTGCAGACTTAATCCAGGTAGGGCTAACTGAAGGCCTGGGCAGACTGCATTCTGGTATTTTTTGGAAAGAGAATGTCTTTCGTTACTGTTTAATATCAAACTTGCTTGGTTCATTAAAACCAGTCTGTTGAAAACCCTGGTTTGTCTCTACCCATGAAAAATGCCAGTGCACACAGCACTCAAACTTTAAAACACCTAGTGATTGGTTTTCTTTCTTTCTATATCCACTTTGTGGCCTCACCATTCCACCAGCTCACTAAGCCTGTTAGATGAATTTGGCAGCCATGAAAATTGTCCAAGTCCTTAACACTGCCTGGATTATCTTTTCAGGCAAACCTAGGGGCACCTTTATTATTTTTTTTTTAGATTTATTTATTATTTATACAGGCACTGGGTACAGTCAGAAGCGTGGGAGGGTGAGAGAATTCACCAGAGCCAGAGCCGGGAGCAGAGCAGGCAGAAGGACCGAAGTACACTGCTGAGGGGAGCAGCAGGCAGCAGGAGAGGTCTGCGTGCCATGTGGGACGGTGGCCTGGGAGCAGCCGGGGATGGAACCAGTACTGCAGAGGCTGTGGGCAGCTTCGCAACCCAGCATTCAACTGCTGCGCCACCGGGGAGGCCAGGCACCTTTATTATAAGAGGTGCTGGCACAAGAAGCAGATGCCTCTTAGTAACAGCTGGCTGGTGGACCTGCACCAGAGAGCTAACTTTCCTGGTGTTTATTTTTCTCTACAACACAAAAAGTTGGTCCAGATCAGCAGTTCTCAACTCAGGACACCCCAGAGTCAGTTGGGGGGCTAATAAAAGACTATGGCTAGGTAAGCTACAGATTGACTGAACTGGCTTCTCAGCAGGCAGGGGGATGAGGGATATAGGGAGGCAGCTATGAATTTGAACAAAATTCCAGGAAGATTCCCAGGTGCACCTGTGTAGGCTAAGTGACTTGGTCAGGCTTTTACACTGTGGCCTCTGACTATCACCTTGATTGTGCTAAAGCAGGAGGGGCACGTGGGTGCGAGGCACACGTGCCTGATTGTGGACACCTGGAGTATGATGTGGGCGTGCACAAGTGGGCACACCTGGGCCTGGAGGCCAAGGCAGTAAGGGAGGCGTCAAAGGACAGCTGTGGCAGAGAACGGCTATGAGGGGACATGTGACTAGAGAGGCAGGGCCACGAGAGCCAACAGAGTAAAGATTCACTGCCCTGACTGCTCTGCACATGGTTGCTGGCACTACTACCTGTAACTAGAAGTCACTGGTCCAATTGTTAGGGGGAAAGGATGTCCTGAGCTAATTCCATACAGGCTGTGTGGACTCCACCCCCACTCCAGACCAAAGCCATCAGGACATTGGGAAAGACAAATACCATCACCACCAAAGGGAAGGTGGTTGGGACCTGAGGGTGGGGTTAAGCAGCCAGGTTTGGTATAAAAGCAGACACACGGGCTTTGGGGGGGGGGGGTGTTTCCCTTTTTTGGCTCTCCGCCAGCTCGCAGCACCCGGCCAGTCTCGGAGTGCCTTTGGGTTTCCAGGTTGTCGGATCGGGTAGGATGCTGTAGGGTAAAGAAAATATCAGGCTTTTCTGCCCTTCCGCCATCAGGATAGATGATGGATCCTTGTCCTGAATGCATGCCTGATGGCGGGCACCTGGAGTAGGGTGTGGGCATAGGTAGATGGGATTCAGCTGAGCTAAGACTGTGCTTTTAAGGGCGGCGTCACGGGGATGCCAGCAGCAGCAGTAGAAGCCGAAGCCGAGAAGCAGCAGAACGAACGCTAGAGAGCCCAGATAGAGTGAAGACTTGCCAGGCCTCCCAGCCCCCCAGCCAGCACCCCTGCCTGCCATATGCCTGGTGAACCCCAAATAAAAAACCTGCAAAACTACTGAGGACTCTGACTCCTCCTTTACCCGGTCTGCATGGGATCAGAAAACCTGCACTGTGCCCAGTCCTGACCCTACAGACGCATTAAAGACTTTATTTCCCTATTTTCTCCCTGAGTTGTACATTTCCTCATTTCCCTTTCCCTTGTAAATAAACCTTTTATTAACCTTTTGTGTGTGCCTGTAGTGGAGTATTAATAAGTCCCTTCTAAGCACGCGGGTGAGGACCCACAGCCAGGCAACCCGTTTTATATTGGGGCTGCTCCATAACACTTTCAGGTTTAAGGCACTAAGATTCTCAGAACAATGTTATTGACCAAACAAAAAGAGTCTGGCTTTGATTTCTAATAGTGTCACTTAACAGGCACGGCTTACTTTCTCCAGAGTGGAGAAGTTGAGCCTATGATAGAATTAAATGCTGGTGACCTGTGGTCCAGGGAAACAAGGATGTGAAAAGAGGACTAGCAGTTTTATGAGATGCTCCACCTAAAATGCTGAGGAAAGACCCTGAAGGGCAGGGTATAGGAAAACAGTCAGCGCTTGTTACTGTGATGATTGAACTCCACTGTGGTCACTTAACAATCAGTTTTAGATTGGCTTTCCAGCTCCACCACCAAGAGCAGGGTTCATAGTCACTTAAATTTATTGGTTTATAACAATTGCATGGAGATGAAAATGGAAATGCTTGCTAGTATCAGCCTCCCTCAGTGTGATGCAGGAAGGTGCATCCAGATGATTTCTGTTGACTTTTGGCTCAGAATAACCTGTCCCCATGTGCGCAAACTTTATTCCTTCTCCCTCCCACTGGTTTTTCCTTTGAGTTCACTATTTGTCAAGCTTCACAACCGACATTCCACACTTTGGAATGGGGAACCTGGTTTGTAGATAAGGGGGCCACCTTGACCATGTAACTTCAGGCCTGGTGCACTCAGTGCTCAAGGTACCTGTAGACCAGACAGCCATCCTAATACCATCCTAATACTCTGCCTTTTTACAGTGAGGCTTGGAGGCGAGAATGAAGATGAAAAATAGTGCTTTGAAAATGGAATGTGTGGTATTCATAATTAATATTTTTAATGAAAGAAATATCCCTCAGAATAAAGGATGCTTTTTATGCCATATATTTTCTCTCCTTGTCTTAACCACATCCCAGGTTCTAAATCATGATACCCAGGTAAGGAACGGCCTGGAGGATTTGAAAGAAGTTCATAATGTGTCCACAGTACATTCCCATTTTTTTTGTGGCTCTAAACTACTACCTAAAAGAAAGCTACAAATATTTGAAAGTAACAATAAAGTGTTCAGAGTGATTCTGACTAAAATCACAGCAGTTCATCAGGGACAAGTTGGAAATACAAGTATAAAAGAAACAATTTGTCAGAATCACACATATCAACCTTGATTAAAAAAAAATCATCACCAGCTTTTGTTTTGTCTTGCCTTTGTATTGTTTGTAAAAGCCCATATGACAAACCAATGGATGCTACTTTTTCTGGGACAAGATAGTCTTGAACCTGGAAAGTGTCAGATTTTCCAAAAGAATGAGTTTAGTGGAAAGAATCCACTTCAAGGATGATAATGTCCTACAAGGAACAACCTTTAAAACTACACATATACATCACAGCACAGGGACTAGCTATCCGCTTCCCCAAATACTATATGGTTAGCAACAAGCATTTCCAGGCCCCTTTCTGAGAAGCAACTAGTTTCCCAAGGTGCTGGCCTGAAAATTAGGCCTTGGATTAATTTGCCACTCCCCAGGCTGCTGATTAAAGCAATCACTTCTAATCCCTTCACCTGGTTCTACAAAGGGAGATGCTCACAGCCAAGAGGCGCAGGGATTTGTTTTATTTAGTATCATTCCCTATGTGATGCTCTTGTCCATATTTTCACTATCCTTACTTAAATGGCCAAGTCTCTGTTTAACAGGTTTCACCTCAGAATTGAAGCTCTAGCTCTACCAATTTCCCCAAAGTTCTGTTAAAGGGGAGTTTTGGCACCTCCCAGGGGACTCTAAATTTGGTAAGACTATCTGTGGGGGAGGGAACACTGGGGAGTTCCACCTAAGTGAGGAGATTCTGGTCAGCTGGAGGGAGCAAGGTTTGCTCTCACAACACCCTGGTCTTCCCTTGCATAAAATCCAGACCCTAGCTCCTCAGCCAGCTGGCAGCTAGTTCCCTGTGGGTCAGGGAACTAGATTGCTTTGAAAGATCTTGGCCATTTGTACCTGGAATCTGATGCATTAGATTGAAAATTAAATAAAGATCCTGTAGTGTTTGTCAAAGAAATACGACGTGGCTCTATGACAAAGCACATTTTTCAAGCTCTGACCTCTGGGAACTTCAACTAGCTTCATATTTCAGGCTGACATTGCTCACAGGCTAGTGTCTAGCTGCCCGGAGTTGCTTATCTGTATATCTCCCAGTGTCCTCCTCAGTTTTTAGCAGAGGGAAGTGAGGGAAGGAAATATACAGAGAGCCACTGATTTAAATGCAGGGCTCCTCCCAAGTCCCTTGGGAAGACACCCTGATAATTAACTCTAATGAAATTAAAATAGCTGCGAACGCTTCATTTTCCCAGCCCTGTATAAGTAAATCTGCAATAACCAGTGCATGTGCTTTTAAATCAAAACCAGTCCTTTTCCCTATAATTTAGGGGTCTCCTCACTCCCGTTCAAGGGAGGAAGAAGCTGCCGGCCCTTACCTGCGCTTTGCTCCATCACTTCTTTCTGACACATGTCTTGAACATTCACCGTGCAGTTGACTATAAACTCCGGGGAGGAGCAGTCGTTGTTCAGCTGGAATTCTTCACACTGGTAACACTGGATCTGCAGCGCAAAGCCTGCGGACAGATGCAACCGGCGTCAGACTCAGCCCTCACAGAAACTACCCCGGGGACCACCACCGTCCCGCACGCAGCCAGTCACTGCGGCGGCGCTGGGAAGCTCCATAATCTGCGCTCCAGGGTTTCCACTAGGGCGCAAGTGGCGGGAGCCGGCAGGGGGCGGATGACGGCCAAGGATCCTGTCTGATGAAGTGGAATTCCACCTGCGACCCCGGGACCCCAGGTCCAGAAACAAAGCGTCCGCCCAACACCCCACCTAGGCTTTCCCCACCGAAGCTGAGAGCAGGAGGGCGGTCTACAGCCCCCAGAGCAAAGCAGCTCCAGGCACAGGCATCAGCTCCAGCCTACGCCAAAGAATGTGCTTCATTGCTAATAAGTTACAAATTACTTAATTACTATCTGGCACCATTCGCGACTGCATTCACGCCTTTTAAAATGTATTTATATGTTGAAGTCAGCATTCCTGTGCTGTGGCTCCGAGGCTCCCGAGTGACCACCCGGGAGGCAGCGCCAGACGCCAGGTCTTGCTGCGCCCAAAGTCCCCAGACCGTTTCCGAGCGGCGTCTGCGGCAGCCGGGGTGGCCGCGGCGAGCGGGAACCGGCGTGTGCACGCGCGACACCGCACCCCGCTCCTCCAGGCTTTCGGGGCGGCCATCTGGCTAGGGTCCCGGTCGGGGTCCCAGCTCCGTAGAATTCTGCCGGCAGCGGGTCGGCGTGCGGAGAGGAGGTAGACGCCTTTGCATTTCTCACCGCTGCAGCCTGGCTGCTCCGCTCCGACCGGCCAGTGCTGTTCAACCCTAGTGCCCGCAGCTCTCGGGCTCTATAGCGGGTCCCCGCGCGCCCCACTCCCAGCACATCACCGGTCGCGTCGCGAGCGCAGCACCCCAGCCCCGGCGCGCCCCGGCCACAGGCGGCCCAACGCGCCCCGGCTCACCTGTCGGCGGCGCCACTCACACGGGCTGCCAGAAACGCCTGGCAACTTGGAGGGGTTCCGGGGCTGTTGCCCCTTCTCCCTCGCCGAAAAGCCTGTACCATTCAGAGCCTTTCTTTCCCCCCAAGCTAGTTTCTTTTCCCGACCCTGCAGCCTAAGCAACTGCACCCCGAATCCCGCAACCCCGCCGCTCCCAGCTCCCCTGCAGCGCGGGACTTGGAGACTTCGCCGCCGAGCGCCGGGGGCAGCCTCCCCTCCGCCGGACTCCCGCCCCGCACCCCCTGAGCAGCGCGGCCCCGAGGCGGGTGCCCAGGACCCCAAAGGGCGGGCGGCGAGAAGGGGTGCGCACGTCTAGCGGGTGCGCCGCCTTCGCCAGCTTACCTTGAAGTAAGAACAATCCGCAGAAAGTTGCCGCGATGCCGAGGACCCACATCCTCCCGGAGCCGCGGGGCCGAGCGGGCAGGAGCCTCAGAGGCCGCGTGCGCGGCGGGGACCGGCCGGGCCGCGGCGGCTGTGGCTGCCGAGGCTGCTGGGGCCCGCGCCGCCGCCGCCAAGAGGAGCCGCAGGTGCCTCCCGCGGCGCCCGCATCGCCCGCGCCCGGCCGCTGGTCGCCGCTCCTCCCGCTCGCGCCGCCGGGCCGCGCGCGGCGTCTCCAAGGAACTACTGAAGGCACCACCGGCGATTCCGGGCACCCAAAAAAGTCTCGCTCTCCCCACCTCCCACTTCAGGCACCACGTGACGGCTGCCGAGTTGGGGTGGGGGTGGCGGGCGGGGGAGGCCGGGACCGTCTTCCCAGGTCCCCACCCCCTTCCCGCGGCCCCGCGCTCGCGCCTCCGCACGTCCCCGGGACCGGCCGCCGGGCGCCAGGGAGCGCGTAGTCCCGAGGGCCGGCGGGCGGCGAGGCGGGCGCAGCAGGTGCCGGGGTCGGCCGGGTGCTGATCGCCCGCACCTGTTCAGAGCGCGGCCCGACTGCGTGCCCCGCGGGTTCTCCGCACGCAGGGGCGCGCCGGCACCCTAGCCGCCAAGCCCCGTCCCCCACCTGAGCCGAGTGCCCCGAGCGGCTGGAGGGGGCGGGACGCGCTCCAGCGCACCCGCAAAGTTGCACAGCATTGGCGCCCGAGGGTGTGCGGGCAGCCTCGCCGCCCTCCGAGGAGCCCTCGGTCGTTACGGTCCGGGCTGCAGCTGCGGCGGGGCGCGCGGGCGCGCGGCGGGGCCCCTGCCTGACTGGCGCGCGCCCCGGGCCGCCCTCCTGCCGTGTGCCCGCGCGCCCCGGTCCCTACCTCAGGGAAGGGCCGCCACGGGGACCACCGTCTCCAGCTCCACAAGAAAGCAAATGGGGGTGAAAGAAGTTGTTCTTTAACCTCTTCCCGCAAAATGTCGGCAGCTTCTTCTTGCTCTGGTCCAACTCAAGGGTTGTTAGTAGGTCGTGCCGCGGCCTCGCCTGCGCGCCATCCCGGCGCAGGACTCCGTGGCTGGCCGCGACCCCACTCCCCTCCACGCCGCCCGTCTTGGCCAGGCAGCTCACCTGGAGTACTCCCGGGACTTCAGGCGCCAACTGCGCCTCCCTCCCCAAGGAGCCTTGCAGCAGGTGGTTGGGGAGGCCGCTTTCCCGCCTGGCATCATGGCCTCCATCCCGCACGCACCCACTTCTGCGCCCCCCAGCCCCTAGGGAACATCCATTTTTGTGGAAATAGCGTCATATACTTTGCCCCCTACTCCTCGGGCCACCTCTTGGAGGAAGCTCTCTAATATTTGCACGCTAGTCATTTATTTCCCAATCCTGCCAGCAGAGCAGGTCTGGAAATGGGCTTAAATGACTTTCTTGTAATTCCTCAGCAGAGATGCTTTCCTCTCTGCCTCCAGCTCCTTCTCTCCCTTTGCTCCCCTCTTCCTTTCATTTCTAGTTGGTTAAGCCCTCTGGAGACTGAAATCTTTGACCATTACTTGCTTGTCTGCAGACCCTGATCTTAAGGTTGGCTGAATTACTATCTCTGGAGCAAAAGGCACCACTTTATTTATTCCTTCGGAATTCATCTTTGGAGCGTGTGTGAGATTCAAGTAACTGAGGTCGAAGTTCTTTAAGCAGAACAAGTTCTTTAAGTTTTCAGAGGGTGCAATTGTGATATGACATTTATTCAGAAATGACACAAAAGAATTTTTAAAAGTCTGAAAGACAGTGATACTTTACATTATTTTCACTTAAGATAACAAAATTCAATTATAACAAATTGCACGAATCAACCAAATAACACTGGTCATACAATACTCTTTAAAGAAACAAATGTGTACTAAAGTAACCATAGAGATCCTAAAAATATTTCTATTATGCCTAGTTTACAAGCTCCTGTACAAAAGCAATTATAAATAGTTCACGTCTAGAAAAAATACACATTACCTTTAAAATAGAATTTATCCTTACATATAAACATTTTATAGGCAAAAACGATATTAAAAAGAATTTTTCATAGCACCAACCATTTTATTTTTTAAAAAGTGAACATTGCAAATAGAAATTTGCTTTCATTTCTAGATTGCTCAGATTTTAATAACAAGAGCAGGAAGATAAGAATCAACAAATACTGTTGAGAATTATAGAGAAGCACTAAGTAAAAGAGGATATAAGAGCATATTTGGGGAGAACCCAGCTATTGAAAATAGAATTAGGTCACTTCTGATCCCTTCCATCAGTATTACACTCCAGTAGAAGGAGAATTACACTTATCGCAGAACCCAAATCTCTGGCAACAAATCTGAAATTGCAGTAGAATGAAAATTTACATCAAACTGAGATTGTGAGATGGAGATTACAATGAGCCCTCTGGTTTATGGGCAGGTCCTGTTTTAAGTTTCCAGAGTGGACCCACAAACAAACAATTTGAGAACTAGAACTATGAACTAAACAAAAACTTTAGTTGGAATTAAAAAATATATATATTATCAACTTCTAAGACTTAGTACATCATTTCAAGAGCATGGCACTGATTCAATTTATTGCTGTCTTTTTTTTTTTTTTTGCTACAAATATAATTTCCTGTCCAAAAAATTTACAACTTCTGTACAAGTATTCAAAAAAAAAAGTGCAAAATTAAGACTTCTGTATCGTGGGCCTGTTTACTTTTAATCCTCATGAAACACAACAAATGGGAGGCTTTCTTTATTGCCCTGTCAGAGAAGCAAGTTCCAGAGCTGCTTGCTGTGAATCTGACAGGGTAGGCTCTCTGGTGTTGCAATAGATCACAGCTGTCATCTGCACCTCCCCTCTCCCTACCCCTGTTTCCTAAGTGCTGCATTTCAGCTCACTAAGGGAAAAAAAAAGTACTTTATACATCATTTGAACCCTGACTTGCACAGGAAGAGAAGCTATCATATAAAGAGTCACTCAAAGATTCCAAATTGTCCACCCCATGCCTATCTGAGCTACTCAAAGATGCCTCTTCATTTTTCTCTTTTTCTTCCTTTTGTCCTTCAACCTTGTTCAAAGAGTTCTTCTCTTTTTCTAATAAAATCACTGTATTGCTGTTATATTTATTGAATGACTCCAGGGAAATTTTAGATAATCTATTCTCAGGATCTTCTTTTGTTTCTTCAACTTGTTTCAATTTCTGCAATAAAAAGGGGAAAATATTAGAGACATATTTCTTTGGAAAATCAAGTTATTCTTTCCAATATTCAATTATTGTCTGTGTAAAGTGCCAGTTAAATGGATAGCGAGAACCTACAAGTCTTTAACAATCTTCTAGTATAATTAAATGTAATAATAAAGACAATTTTAGAGATAAATCAAGACTTGAATCATTTTACTGAGATAAATAAGTCCCAATTTGCAAACCGGTTAAGTGCCACTTAATTTCATTTTAAATGGCTCCATTTGAAATTTGTTCAGGTAGAATGCCTTATTTTTCTTGATCAAAGATTCCTTTCTTGCTTTACCAAGTATTATTAGTTGTCTTGTTTCTAACTATGGCTAGGGATTTCATTTCTGTCAGAAGTTACAGTGATATATACATATATATACACACACACACACATATATATATACAGTTATACAGATTTAAAAGGACAAACAACCTCTTAAGTTGCCATTAAGTATATGTTTTAACTTTTCAGCGGCATTGTCATGTTTGTATTTTGTCTCTTTACAACTCGTAAGACATTTGAAAAATATCTCCAGATCAGTATAGATTCTATAGGTCCAAGGGCTTAAAAATCATAGCAATGAATCTTTAGCAGGCTCTCCCAGGAAGTTCTAGGAACCCCAATTTAAACAGGGATATGTATCAGATGTTGCTGGTACTCTCCAGGATATTATATTATAAAATATCCTGCAGGATATTATAAAATATCCTGCAACTATATTATAAAATATCCTGCAACTCAATAATTATTGGAGATAAAACCTTAAACATGAATATGTCCAATAGGTCAAGTGGCTTGTAGTGTCTGAGAGGAGAAGAGAGAGGCCGACATGGCTGTTAAACAAAATGAAAGGAGGTGTCAAAGTGTAGGGTCCAGAAGACCAGAGGGCAGGTTTTCTGGGATCCAGCAGACCAGGTAAAGGAGGAGTCAGAGTCCCCAGTAGTTTCTGCAGGTCTTTTATTGGGGTTTACCCGGTACAGGGCAGGCAGAGGTGCTGGGGGGCCGGGAGGCTGGCCCGTGACAGCCACAGAGCCAGCAAGTCTTCACTCTATCTGGGCTCTCCGGCCTTCTCTGCTTCTCTCTCGGCTTCTGCTGCTTCTTTCTCGGCTTCTCTTTTAGCTTTTGCTGGCGTCCCCGTGACGCCGCCCTTAAAAGCCCCGTCTCTGCCCAGGTGAATCCCATCTACCTAGGCCCACACCCTACTCCAGGTGCCCGCCATCAGGCATGCAATCAGGACCGCAAGGATCCATCATCTATCCTGATGGCGGGAGGGCAGAAAAGCCTGATACTTTTTCCTTACCCTACACAAAGCCACGAAAACAGTTCTCTTTCAGGCAAAACTTCCATCCAAACACAAGGAAGAAGCAAGGATGGTGTTTTGCAACCATCCCAGGCCGGGTAAGTTCACCATGGGTTCTAACAGTTTGAAGAATTTTGGAGCCCTTAGCATCATTTTCACAAGTTTTAATGGTAAGCAGGGGAAACAAGCCAGCAGGGAAAGCAACAAGAGGTCCCTGCAAATCTCCATATGGTCCTTACTTTGGGCTTTCTCTGGCGTTCTCTCTTGATCTCCTCCTCTGGTAGCTGTTTCACTGTAGCTGTCTCTGAGTAATGCCGCCCTTCTAGCCCTGACCTCTAGGCTCAGGTCTGCACACTTGCACGTGTCCCACACTGACGCTCCCTCCACATTAACAAAATCAAGGCTGCCCGTGACAGCCACAAGCTGATGGTGCAAAGGCCTGATCAACTTCATTTTCCCTACAGAGGGATTAGAGATGATCATAGCAACCATTATTATTAAACAGCCATCAGGTAAAAGACACTGAGTACATTTTATCTATACGCTGTTTCAAAAACCTACAAGTTGCATATCCCCATTTTAAAGAGGAAGAAAACCAGAAACCAGTTGAGTGAGTGTCCAAGGTCTGTCAGTAAGTGATAGGGCCAGGACTGTCCAGCTGCCTCCTATTCTCTTATGTGATAAAGGACAAGACGTCTGTATTTTTGCGTTCACTCTTCCACCCAGATATTCCGCTTAAATAGCCACCCCCACTTAATCAATGGATGCAGAAAGGTGCATTAGGGGAATTGGGCTTTGAGGGGGTTTGGAGGAGAGCAGACAGAAAAAAGCCTATCAAGTCTTACACACTAAACAGTTAAAAGAGAAAAGAAAAAAGTATGAAAGTGATTGGCTTAAGTGTCCCAAGAGGAGAATGAGACAGTTTCTAGCTATGGGAAGTAGGGTAATTCTGGGAGGATATTTGAAAATCATCCTTGAAGTGGTGCTTATTTCATTATACTATTAACATACAGGAACATTACTCACAGAGCTAATTTTCGATCTCAAAGGGCAACCGTGAAACCAGAGGGCAGCTGAGGAAGAGATTCCTAGTTGATTACGAAAAGTGGCTTCATAATTTGGAACAAAGACTCTTCAGGCTGTGCCAATTTTTAGGCATACTTATTGTTCCTTATTATACAGTCAAATATTAAGATTATATAGAGTAGGAAATACTTTGAAATACCAAATGTGCGTAAATAAAAGGCATTTGATGCAATTTCCTCCTCACCAGAGTATCTCCTTTTTCCTTCATTCAGGAATTGCGAGCACTCTCATTACCTATTTCTAGTCAATGTGGATCGCAAATTGATTCAACAAACACTTATTAGAGATGCAGATGGAAGGCTTTGGTGCTGAGAATACACAACTAAAGGAAATTATGCCCTGTCATGGGGATCTGAGGCCCAGGAAGCAGACAGACCTGAGTCTGACCTTCAGCTTTGCCTTGTCACTGCCTGTGTAAGTGTGAGCGCGCATCCTGTCTCCCATGGGCGAAATGGTAATAAGATGCACCTTCACTTCAGGAGCAGTGTAAGTACTAGAGACAGAGCATCTTAAGGCCCTGACACAGTGTAATATGTGTTCAATAAATGATACAATAACTAAGTGAAAGTAAGATAGGATTCTTGTTCTAGAACAGTGATTCTCAACCTGTTCTCCAGATCATCATGTGGGACCTGGTTAGACATGCATATTCTTGAACCCCACCAAGACTGAGTATATCAGAAACTCTGAGGCTAAGGCAATGTTTTTAACAAGCCCATCAGGTGATTCTGGTATCTAAGAATCACTAGTCTAGAAGAATATGTAGTCTTTGGGGGAACATAAACAATGTGAAAAGTATAATTTGGTGTACTAAGGTAGAGATGAAGAAAGTTATTTACCATTAAAATACACACTGTTTATGCCTGTAGGTTTCATGGTGGGAGGTTTATTTTCTTCAATTAATTATAAAAAATAAAGACCTATACAGGACAGGGAAGTGGTAGAAATAAAGGAATGGTACATTTTAAGAAAAATCACACCACCTTCTCAGTCTCTGTTTTTTTTTCTGCTATCTGTAGACCAAAGATTGTATTTAGCTAATAATTTTATTCGTTTTAAAATGAGAGCTTATATTTATAAAAACTATAAATTCAAACGTATTTATGATTCTGCTTTGTTTACTCTTTTCTTTAAAGACTATTGATCTATTCAGATGCAGCAATTCAAGTAGTAATTAGCTATTAATTTATTAGCACAAGTTGAAAATATAAACCACTAGCATATAGTGGCCTTTTGGTACAATAACAGACAACTAATCACATATTAATTAATGCCTTGGAAAAAATTAATTTGTAATAATAAAGAAAATAAGACACGATAAAGACTTCAATATTAAATTAAACATGGAATGTTTAAATTTGTTGTATTTTTTTAAAGATTTATTTATTTATTTATACAAGCACTGGGTACAGTCAGAAGCATGGGAGGGTGAGAGAATTCACCAGAGCCAGAGTGGGGAACAGAACAGACAGACTGACGAAATATACTGCTGAGGGGAGCAGCGGGCGGCAGGAGAGGTCGGTTGCACCATGTGGGACCCTCGCAGGCGGCCAGGGATCAAACCGGTGCTGCAGAGGCTGCGGGGAGCTTTGCAGTCCAGCGCTCAACCACTGCGCCATCAGGGGAGGCCCTAAATTTGTGTTATTTTTGAGCATTGCTATGCTAAATATGTTATTGAAGATTACAGAACGATGTTTTATAAAAATCATTGTAAACAGATTTTACTTTGACAACTAAAATTTCTGGATAACCTTGTGTAGGGTAAGTAAAGTGTCAGGCTTTTCTGCCCTCCTGCCATCAGGATTGATGATGGATCCCTGCAGTCCTGAATGCATGCCTGATGGCGGGCACCTGGAGTAGGATGTGGGCATACATAGGTGGGTACACCTGGGCTGAGAGACTGGGCTTATAAGGGCGGTGTCACAGGTATGCCAGGAGAGTGAACAGAACGGAGACCAGAAGGAGATCAAGCAGAGAGGCAGAGGCCCCGAGAGAAGGCCAGAGAGCCCAGAGGGAGTGAAGACTTGCTGGGGGCTGAGAGGCCTGTCAGCCTTCCGGCCCCCATGCACCCCTGCCTGCTGTGTACCTGGTAAACTCAATAAAAGCCTGAAAAAGGCACTGAGAACTCCAGGACTTCTCCTTCACCAGTCAGCTCCAATCATAGAGATCCTGCTCTGTGCCCATCCTGCCCCTACACTTTAAGGCATCTGTAGCATGTCAGACTAAGCGAATTTTCCTTTTATTTTCAAATAAAAGGAGGTGTGCACAAAAGTATTTCTTGACTGTAAGAACAACATCAGAACAAGAATGACCATGAGGATGAACGGGCATTCAGCTTCCAAGCTGAAAGGTGATAGGGAGTAGTGGGGACTATGGTGAGTTTAAGAGTGTGTTTCTAATCTATGCCTTGATCTAGCTTATTGCTACTATGTGGAAATGGGGGTCCAGAGCCTTTGATTTTTAAAGGGGAGGTCATTAAATATCAAACAACATATGCTTATATTTAAAATCCTCTGATTTTAATTATTTATAAATATTAAAGAAAATACAACAGAACCTCCCACCAAGTATGTCAAATCA